TGTCCGAGCAGGCCACATCCAGCCATGCTCCTGGGATCAGCTCATTGTAAGAAGTTCTTTATTGCCCAGAAAACTTCCACAAATCAGCACAGTTTATGAATCCAAAATCAAAGTCACTTTTATACCCATCAATTTTAGGGCAAAGATGAACAGAAACTCTATTATATGTTTTCTTTAAAACTGTCACTCCTCTCTCTGTTGTTCTTCATGCAGCCTTTGTTTTTTTTTTTTTGTTATTATTATTTTTTTTTCCCCCAAAATCACAGGTGTTACTGGTTTATCTACTTCCTTCATGTCTTCCTGTCACTCAGGTAGAAAAAAAGGGCTATTCTGTGCATTTTCTGTACATTCTGCTCTGGTTTGTGTGAACAGAAGACTTTACATGATCAACCATGTAATCATTGCAACTCTGTGTTAAACCTTTGATGGGATGTTAGTAAAAACTTAAATTGTTATGTTGGTCAATTTCAGTTCCTCCCCACCAGAGAGCATAGTTTGCCCAGAAAGCAAAAATTCCCTTTCCCCTCCTTGAACACTGAAAGTGGCCACAATGCGATGTTTGTTCACCTTATTTCACCCCATAGATTAATCCTGAATGTCCTTTTTGGTGCAATTTTAATGTCCAAAAACAAAAGATTATAAATGAAACCCCATGACAACTGTGAAAAGATTGGTCAAAGTAAATACGCTGGTGGATGTCTTTTATCCCAGACCAGCTGAATTTGGTGTTTAACATTTACATTCTCAGTTTCTTATCTTGTTGATTAATTAATATATCATGACATTTTTCAAAAGCAAAAAAAGAACCTCAAACATTTCATGGTTCCAGAAGTAATGGCTGTCAATTTCATTTCTTACTTCCTTTTTTTCCCCCTTTAAACTAATAATTTAGTTTATGAAATGTCAAACAGTGGAAATAAATGCCCATCACAGCTTTCCAATCTCCAGGGTGATGTCTTCAAATATCCTATGGTTGCTTTACATTATTATGTCAGAAAATCCCCATGCTACAGAGGTAGGAATAAACTTTTTTCAGTTGAAAATTGAAAATATCAAAATAGTGGTTGATTATCTGTGTGTCAGTTA